AAAGTGATGTGGTTATGAAATATATGATTAGTAGTTATGATATATGCGATATTGGTTATGAGATATGTGGGCAATGGTTATGAGATATTTGGGCAATGGTTATGAGATATTTGATTTGTTATTATAAAATATTTGATTTTGGTTATGAGCAAAGTGGTGTCAAAGAGTGTTTGGTTATGCTCTATGTGTTAGCGATTATGAGATATGAAATATTGGTTATGATCAAAGTGGTGTAGTTATGAGATATGTGACTAGTGGTTATGAGATATGTGATGTTGGTTATGACTCAAAGGGGTTGGTTATGAGATGTGGTTATGATTCATATGGGTAATAGTTATGAGATATGTGATAAATGATTATGAGACATGTGATATTGGTTATGAACAAAGTGGTGTGGTTATGAACAAAATGGTATTAGTTATGAGATATGTGACTAGTGGTTATGAGATATGTGATGTTGGTTATGAAAAAAAAGGTGTTGGTTATGAGATATATGATGTTGGTTATGAGATATGTGACTAGTGGTTATGAGATATATAATATTGGGACCCTTGGACTCCTCTAATTTTCTTTGCCCTCTTTTTGGTGACCCGTTACACCGGTTGCCAATTCAAAATTAAATTATTAAAATAATTTAGTTATGTGGTAGTTATGAGATAATATGGTATGTATGAATAACTAAATATAATTAAGTTATGAGTTAATATGATAATGGTTATGATCTATTTGATATTAGTTATAATATAAAATCACATAACGTCATAACTAATATATGGTACATCCAAATGTACCATAGCATCACCCTGTTTTCTATAGACAGGATAGGTTATTTACCATCGGAGGCTCACCTCGCTTTGAGTTGTACAACCCTGATTTCGGGTAGGGGAGACCAAGGAAGGTGGAGATGACATCAATTGATAAAAGTGGAGCTTTCTCTCTATAGTGACAGTAAGGAATGAGAGAGATGTTTGATAGATAAAGAGAGCTGAGATAGCAAAACAGTACAACAAAATCGTAATATTCATTTTCAACAGTTCTATAAGATATGTACAAATTGATAAAATCATAACTACGGCCAAAGATTTTTACATGTATGAAAGTTTAGAGAGAATGAGAGTTTGAGAGACAAATTTGTTGTGAGAAATAAAATGTGAGAGGGGTGGTATTTATAGGACTTGGGAGGGAGGAGTTAATTTATATATATATAAATAAAAAAAAAAATTGATTGTTGGTGGAATTAACGGTTATATGACTCTTTCAAATTGTTTTGATTTAAATGTTTGACCATTGCACTGACAATGGGGGCAAGGAGCCATTGGGGTCAGGTCGAGCTAGATGGGAAAGAAAATTTCGGGGCGATCTCACGAGATGGGTCACACTCCATAACACACCAGGGTCGGGTCGGGCTCTAGAACACATAGCTCAAGGTCTTAGGTTAGGTTTAGACTCAAGCCTAGTTAGGCCTACCCAGGGCACAAGCGGACTTGGGGTGGTTCTGAGATATATGATTAGTAGTTATGATATATGTGATATTGATTATGAAACAAAGGGTGCTAGTTATGAGATGTGGTTATAATATATGTGGGTAAAGGTAATGAGATATATGATTAGTGATTACGAGATATGTGATTTTGGTTATGAGCAGAGTGGTATAGTTATAAGTCAAATGGTGTTTGGTTATGAGATATGTGATTAGTAGTTATGATATATGTGATGTTGGTTATGAGATATGTGGGTAATGGTTTTGAGTAAAGTGGTGTCAAAGGGTGTTTGGTTATGCTATATGTGTTAGTGGTTATGAGATATGTGGGTAATGGTTATGAGCAAAGTGGTGTCAAAGGGTGTTTGGTTATGCTATATGTGTTAGTGGTTATGAGATATGCGGGTAATGGTTATGAGTGGTTATGAGATATGTGGGTAATGGTTATGAGTAAAGTGGTGTCAAAGGGTGTTTGGTTATACTATATGTGTTAGTGGTTATGAGATATGTGGGCAATGGTTATGAGTGGTTATGAGATATGTGGGTAATTGTTATGAGCAAAGTGGTGTCAAAGGGTATTTGGTTATGCTACATGTGTTAGTGGTTATGAGATATGTGGGTAATAGTTATGAGTGGTTATGAGATATGTGAGTAATGGTTATGAGCAAAGTGGTGTCAAAAGGTATTTGGTTATGCTATATGTGTTAGTAGTTATGAGATATGTGGGTAATGGTTATGAGTAAAGTGGTGTTAAAGGGTATTTGGCTATGCTATATGTGTTAGTGGTTATGAGATATGTGGGTAATGGTTATGAGCAAAGTGGTGTCAAAGGGTGTGGTTATGCTATATGTATTAATGGTTATGAGTTATGAGATATTGGTTATGTGACTAGTGGTTGTGAGATATGTGATGTTGGTTATTAGATATGTGACTAGTAGTTATGAGATATGTGATGTTGGTTATGATCAAAGTGATGTGGTTATGAGCAAAAATGTGTTAATTATAAGATATGCGATTAGTGGTTATGAAATATGTGATATTGGTCATGACAAAAAGGTGTTGGTTACGAGATATGTAACTAGTGGTTATGAGATATGTGATGTTGGTTATGACTCAAAGGGATTGGTTATGAGATGTGGTTATGATGTATGTAGGTAATAGTTATGAGATGTTTGATTAGTGATTATGAGATATGTGATATTAGTTATGATAAAAAGGTGTTGGTTATGAGATATGTGACTAGTGGTTATGAGATATGTGATGTTGGTTATGACTCAAAGGGATTGGTTATGAGATGTGGTTATGAGATATGTGATATTTGTTATGATCAAAGTGGTGTTGGTTATGAGATATGTGATTATGATTATGAAATATGTGATGTTAGTTATGACTAAAATGGTGTTGGTTATGAGATGTGGTTATGAAATATGTGATATTAGTTATGAACAAAATGGTGTTGGTTATGAGATGTAGTTATAGCTAAGTTATGATCAATTTGATTATAGTTATGAAGAAATATGATTTTAGCTCATAACTATAAAAAGTGACCTGTTTAGCAGGTCACTTTTAATGACCTGGTTATGAAGTAATATGGTATAAGTAAATAATTGAATATAACTAAGTTATGAGTTAATATGGTGATAGTTATGACTAATATGGTATAGGTTATGATATAAAATCATATAAGTTCATAACTAAATGTATGGTACACCTAAATGTACCATAGCATCACCCATCATTTTCTGGGCTTGTTTGGGCCTAAGTTACTTTGGGTTGAATTCTTATCCTGCATAACATTATATGTGTATAATGATTTCACGTTACAGGTGTAATGTAATTTTGGATTCAAAATATCATAATTCTTTATATAAATGTCTAATTTTATTAAAATTGATATTTTTATAATCCTTTCATTGAGATATATTAAATAAGATCTATGTTGGATATGGAATTTTTTTTAAAAAAATTACAGTAAAGTTTTACTATCCCAACTAACCTTAAGATAGTAGAAATTTACTAATATTAATTGTAAAATTTTACTAACAAAATTTTAGCATTTAAATATTAAAATTTTATCATCATCACTAAACACCATACTTACTAAAACTGTTATCGTTAGCAAAATATTTATAGTTACTACTACCAAATTTTTTTTATTTAACTATCAGATTTGAGATCTCCAATCTCAAATTTGTTTGAACTAGAGTGAAATTTTATTGTCCGAAAAATAGAGTATTGTAAGAAGAAAAAGAAGATGATGAAGAAGAGAGAGAGCATCAATTAGAGGTGACTGATCTCAGATCTGAGGTTGTTGGTTTCAGGTGTAAGACGGTCAAGATGAATAGTAAAAATAGTGGTTGCTAATGGTAGATCTAACATAGTGGCATCGGTAACAAACCATGAAGGCGACAAGTGTTGACAATGGTGGAGATGTTGGAGAGAGAGTTGCATAGTGAGATGCAGTGGGAGTGGAGACGGAGAGAGAGCTTAACAATGGCTCTGATGGTGGTGAAAAGAGTTGTTAGAGAGAGAGAGAGAGAGAGAGATTTTGAGAGAAAATGAGAGGTTGCAGGAAAAAATAATGAGAAATGTGGACAAAAATGTTCAAAAAAATTTAATTTATCTTTTTCGCAATAAAAATATAAGATGAATGATTTTATATATTAAAATTGTATAATTTGGACTTTTCAAAAGACATAATTCATTTGACAAAAAATTATCACCCAAATCATATCCAACGTGGTATGTCTGTATAATTCTATTGATTATATACCCACTACTTCCTATATTTTTTCCTATGTATTACATAACCTAATTAGAATTCCTAGAATACAGAATAATTCCTCCCATTTGAGAGACTTAAATTACAAATACAATCCTTGATGTATACTTAAAATGCAGTTGCTCCTATGGTTTGAAAAATTATAAATATTTTATTATAAGAATTTTTTATTTAACAGAATTAATTAGAAAAATAAAATTTTTAACTGTTCTCCTATACAGTAATAAAATTACCTAAATTATTAATTGAAACATATATTTGATATTATTAAAAACTATTAATTGAATTGATAATTTATTAATAAAAAATCTCATTTATTATAAAATTAAAAATTTTAAGGACGAGACATAATTTATATTTTAAATAAATCTCATAAAATTATTCCATTTACAATTTGCCCTTAAAAAAAACCCTATAATTTAGGGAGTGTTTGGGAAGAAAACTTTTTAGTTTTTTTGGCTAAAATAGCATTAAAAGACAAATAAGTTAAAATAACTAATAAAATAAAATGTCACATCAAATTCATAATTATTTTATTTTTTTTTCACAAACATCACAGTATTTTCCAAACACCCACTTAATAAAAATTTTAATCTATTAAAATAATTAAAAACTAAAATAACTTATTAAGATAAACAACCACTTACAAATAGATACATAGCATTTTCGACGCATGACTTTTTATAACCGGACCCTTCACTCCTTGAGAAACACGTACGCAATAAACTCCCCAAAAGACTATTCATTGAATGCGCGTTTAGATTTTCCGTTGTATCGAGAAAAAAAAAGAAGAAAGAATGCGCGCTTAGGACAAAAACAAAACCTCAAATATAATATTTATCTCTAGCCTCTCTCTCACATATATTAACTATTAATTGAATGCGAGTTTCCGCTTTTCGGTACAGCATTGTTCGTTGCTTCAACGCTCGTCCTTTGCCTCTCTTTTCGTGCGCTCTCTCTGCTCTACTCAATTCTATTCACATCCCATTCCTACCCAAAATCGGAACTCCAAGTGTTCGACGAAATGCCTGAGCGATGGTTTCGCTCATCACCTCCCCAAATCACTTCCTCCTCCCGTCTCGACTCCTTCGAGTTTTGAATTTTCCCGCCATTTCTCCACCTCCGGCAGCCGTCGTGGTCAATCCGAGGCGGCGTCTACGGCGGCGGCATCAGCCACCGCGTACGGCTGGGTGCGGCGTCGATCTAGAAGAGTACTGTTCTTTTGGGTTTGTGGATTTGAAGAGGAGGCATTACGAGGGGTCGTCTTGGTGTTGTTCGTGTAAGGGTTGGGATAGTGAGGGAGATTTGGGTTTGGAGGCTGAGATTTTGGAGTTTATGAACAAATCGGAGAAGCCGGAGGTGTTTCCCACGAAGAAAGAGTTGGTGGATGCAGGTAGGATGGATTTGGTGGAGGCTATTGTGAAGAAAGGGGGTTGGCTTTCTTTGGGTTGGGATTTGGGTAATGACAATGATGATGATGAGGAGGAGGAGGTTGAAGAAATTGACATGGCTGTTAGAGATTGTGATGATGATGAGCAAGTGAAGGTTCATGAAAATGGAACAATGGTTGTAGATTGTGATGAGGATGTTTTAGTTGGTGTTGTTTTAGGGGACCATCAACAGAGAATTGAGGGTAATGAAGAGAGTAATTCAATAGGCGGCGAAATTGAGAGTTATGGAGTTTCTTCTTCTGGTAGATCACTGTGAGATTCCTGTTTGGCTCTACTTGTCAATATTTGTTACTGATGATATTCTTGTTTTTTGTGCTTAAAGAAGGGGAATTTTTTAGACCCATTTGATGATCTTTTGCATTTTTTATGCCCATTATCTCTACCCCACCAGAATTTGATACTTGCACTATTTGTCTGCCCCACAGCATTTAAAAGACCTCAACTATATTTTTTTTCATGGAAATGTTATTTCACAGAGATAATTATTTTTGTGCAGTGAAATGGGAGATGAGCAAGAAACTGGGATAGAGGGTATACTTAATAGGTTGGAGAAACAGAGAAATTTGTCTTTTGGAATTAATATGGAGAAAAATGGATATTCTGCGGGTGCATCAAGTAATTACGGTGGAGATGATTCGCATGATGCAGGTAAGTCAGTTATTTTGATACTTCAGGAAGTTGGATTCCGCAGAAACAAATAGCTTACAGGATAATTGTTGTCAGTGTTATTCTTTGTTTCCATTATGTGCACTCCTTCATCTTGGAGTCCACCATGAAAGGGTTTCAAGTTATTTGAATAATTGGAATTATATACAAGGTTTATTATCTTCTTGGATCTGTATTTATACTATATAAACGTGAATAAGCAGGGTCATATCTGTGGCAGTTTAAAGTTAATACCACTCAACATTATATCATCTTTGTAGATGAACATTCCATTTGGTTGTCTATACCTTTGAAAGATATAAGTAGTTTCTTGATAAATAAATCCTTTTTTTAAAATAAAAAAAAAATCTTTTCTTAGTTGCATTTTAATTGGCACTGGATTTGGTTTTTATCCCAAAAAAAGAGGCTGCCATTGGATTTTTAATTACCATTTTAAATTTGTTGACTTGACTTCTTTTTGTAGTATTTTACACCTATACACTCTAAAATATTGTTGGGTGTTTGTTACATTGTAAAAGACAGTGCTGATCTTGGAAGAAGCAGCAAACTCACACCAGGTAGCCCCAAGAGGGGCAAAATCAACAATTCAGGTGGCATGTTTAGCCATGGAAGATCTGTCTCAGATTTTGATGGTTCCACGAGCTCACTGAAGCCAGAAATGTGGCGTACTTGGAGCATTCAACGGGCAGGCTTCTCGGATGCAGAATTTGAGGGTATTCCATTTACTAGTTTCTATTGCAATTTACTTTCCCAGTTTTAGATCAATGATATATCCTATCCCCTTCCCAACTCCCCATGCTTGCTCTTACTATGTACAGCAGCTGAAATTTCTTTTAATGACAATCAAATTCATGAGGAAAAGGATGCTACAGAGTATGAAGTACTTGCAACAATGGAGGGTTCTACTGAAGCTTTGGACAAACAGGAAGCTATTAATCACAAAGAGATACGAACTCGCCTTCAGCAGATGGAGCTTGAGCTTGCATCGGCACTTCACTTATTGAGGTCCAAGAGCGAGGAATTGGTTTTCAAAGAGGTACCTAATCAAAATTTAGTTTCTTAGTTTTCAAAAAGTTTGGTTTGGTTTGGTTTGTAGTTTTCAAAAAGGTTTTTTTTGTTTTTGATAAAAAAAAAAAAAGATGATCTGAGATGTCATCACTGTATCCGTGGGTCCAGGCCCTGGGGTAACCGGTTGTTGGCCTGATTTGACCCAACCCATAGGAAGGGACCCACCATCGAGGCACCAATGGAGCTCAATCACATGCCACAGACAAGTTGGCATTAACCAGTGTGGTTTAGTTGCTCATTTGACTTGTTGTCATTGAATGTATAGTTAATTCATGGGTAATTAATATGATTGAGTTTTTTGTGATAAAAATCAGTTGGTGTTTGTAATGATGTGCAGTATAATAGATCATATCCAAGATATGTGGAAAATGTACTTAACTGTAACACGACGAACTTTGTTATGGTTTTGGTCATGTATAGACATGATATATAAGTATTACTTAGAGGTACACTTCTCTTTTGCATCATTATATCTATATTAATATAAAATGGAAGAATACTGGATTGGTGTTCCCTTGTTTTGAAGCCCTGTTAAATTTTTATTTTCGGGAAGAAAAAAAAGTCAGTTGTTTAAGTAAATTATCTTGGATTATTGCCTTTTTAGGGGGCTTTATAAGACTTTCGTAATCATGTAAGGTTCCTATTTTGTTGCAAATTCAGTAAAGTGCAAAAATTGTTTAACGGATTGATGGGGAGACAGTTATGCACCACTTTTTGGAGAAACTTCCGTTGACCATTCACTTCTTTGGTCAAATGTTCACATGCATAGTGCACTCATTCATGCTAGTAGTCTAATTAAAGTAATTGTTGTACAGAGAACTTAATAGAATACGCCTTTTCATTTTGCTATTGGCTATTGTGTTTCCATAGCATAGAAAGGCTATCGAAGTAGCCTTTTTTTTTTTTTTTTTTTTCTTTTTGATTTTTTCAAGTTGCTCTATTATTTACCTTCTAAATAAACATTGAGATATCTTATTCTATAATTGTTTAATCAGTATATATATGTTCTTATATCTCAAATCACAAAGACATTAAAATTGAGATATTAATAATTGGAAAATATTAGATAACATCAGTTTTAATTATGTAATCTAGTTGATTTCTTTGAACTCTAATATGAGAGAATATTCTTACTACTTTATTGCAAAGTAGCTAAACTTCTCCTCAGGACTTTGACATCACACAGTTCTGTTGTGCTGTTAATGTAAAATTTGCTGGTGTTATCACATTTTTTAAAATCGTTATTTAAAGGCATGTTTCAAATAAGGACTTTAAAGGAAGAAATTTGCTTCTAGCACCACTATGCAAGTAACACTACCAACTTTGATCTTAATGCAATTGTAAATAATTGACCTTAGCAAGTAGTTAGTTAGAAATTTGACAAGTCCCATGGTTTAGTACCATGTATGTAAATTAGCATAAGGGGTGGCCATGGGAAAATTTGCGTTTGAGCTAGTATTGCACTAGAATAAAACAAAGGTATGCTGGCCCAAGTCTACCATAGATCAACGTTGGGGCTTAAATGATTCATCACAATCTGACATAAAAAAAATATTTTTAAAAACTGTTAAATGAAAAATGTTTACAAAATTCAGGAAGAGAAATAGTGTTGATGAACTAGAGAATATAGGTTTTATTGTTGACTTAGTTTGCAGTGGAATTTATAGTAAAGAAGATGAAATCAGGTCAGACATTAGGACCAAAATTGGATCCTATTGAGGCTTAGATTTGATAGGGGTTGTGTTGCTTAACAAAATTCTTTAATATGATTCTAATGACTATGAAAGTGTGTGATGAGTGGAGAAAAAAAGATTTGAATGACTATATATAAAAATAAAGGTGGTTTCAAAGAATGCAACAACTATAGAGGCATTAAGTTAATGAATCATACAATTAGATTGTGGGAGAGTGGTTGAGAATTGCTTAAAGAATTACAACATCAGTGTTAGAGAATCAATTTGGATTTATTCTTTGTAGATTAATTATGGAAGCAATTTATTTACTAAAAAAATTAATAGAAAAATATAGAGAGAAAATAAGGGATCTAAATATGAATTTTATATATTTCGAAAAAGCTTATGATAAGGTGCCTAGAGATATAATATGGTTAGTGTTTGAGAAAAGAAGTGTTGTCAAAGGGTGCACTGATTTGATAAAAGTCATGTGTGATGGAATTGCAATTTCAATTAGATTATGTGTAGGAGAAACTACGAAATTGGGTAAATTATCAATAGGTCCTACTTTTGGGATTTATTTCCCATTAAGTTTTATTGATAAATTTATCAAGTAATAAATTTATCAGTGTTTCTTGTTTGTATGAGTAAATTTACAGTGATAAATTTATCAATAGAACCTGTAGGTAAATAAGTCTAGTTAATAGGATTGATTGGTAAATGTCCCCAATCACTATAGGGTTGCATCAAGGTTCAACTTTGAAAACACATTCAGAATGATGGATAACTAAAATTTGAAAACTAGGAGATAAGAAATAGTGAATATTTTCGTTATCTAGGTTCGATTATTAGTAAAAATGGTAAGGTTGGGAATGTTGTAATCTATAGAATCAAAGTAAGTTAGCTTTGAGTGGAGGATTACGTTTGACATATTATGTGATCGAAGAATACCTATGAAGCACGGGTACGGGTATGAGTACTGGTATTGGTACGATACGGGTATATCGATACGGTAAAATCCAAAAAAAGTAGGGTATGGGTACGGCTTGGTACGTTTGTAAAAAAATATTTATTTTTAATTTAGAGTTATACAAAAATTAATTAAATGGTTTAATATGTTACGATTCAACCTACAATTAACATTTAATGCCAAAAGTATAAGTATAAATCAAAATTAAATGTTAATATATTAAATAACTTACAAACCATAGTTGAATTTTAAAAACATGCTAAGCATAAAGCTAAAAATAAAAAAGAAGTCTAATGAAATGAGTTTTATTTCTGTAATAAAAGAAAATATTGTTTCAACTGAGGTATGGTACAACTTGGGTATGTAGTAGATATGTCTGGGTACACCAAAAATTAAGAAGAAAAAATTTGGGTATGTGTTTCATGTACCCGGTACATATGCAGAAGTACCATACGAGGTACGATACGCCGGTAAGTACCCGGTATGGGTACAACATGTTTTTCAAAGTACCAATGCTTCATAAAAGAATACCAACTAAATTGAAAAGAAAATTTCATAAAATAGTTAGAAGGCCAGCAATGCTTTATGTGACAACATATTGGGCAATTAAGAAACAACACACGTTCATGAAAGGAGTGTATCTTAAATGGATGAGTGGCCGGGCTAGGAAAAATTGAATTAAAGATGAACATATTTGTGAAATGGTAGAAGTATCACCATTGAAGATAAGTTGAGAAAGAAAGCTAAGATGGTGGTCATGTACAATGAATACCTAGAAATGGTAAGGAGAAGTGATATGAACACTAGAAATGGAAATGTTATGGGAAGGGAAAGACCTAAATTGACATGGAATGCGGTAGTAAGTTTTTTATTTTTATATTACATAAATTTATTTAGGACAAATTACACTGATAGTCCCTATAATTTGTTATGTGTCTATTTGGTCCCTCTAATTTCAATTGACTCGCTTTTGCCCTTGAATTTTTTATTTCGTTTCAATTCAGTCCAATTGATGATGGCCGTTTGGATTTTTGACAGAAAATGGTTACGTGCGCCTCACATGATCATTTTTTATGGACAAACCAGGAAAATCAATCATTGTAGAAGGGACATAATTGTCCAAATATTTTTCTCTCATTTCCTCCATTTGTCTCTCCTTCCCAACTTTCTTCTTCACCGACCACTTCTTTAAGATAAATCCAGTCACTGGGTTTCTCTCTTCCTTTTGTTTTTCTTCTTGTCTTTCTCTCTTAAATGTGTAGCACACTTGTCTCTCCTCTTTCTGCTCAACCATATCACCCCTGTCACACTTCTAAAATTGCATTCTTGCTCTTAATTATATACAATCCAGTTGCTGTTTACAATTCTGAATTTATTTGATTATTGTTGCTGTGTGTTTCTAAATTTGGTTGATCAATTGCTGTTTACAATTCTGAATTTGTTTGATTATTATTGATGTGTGTTTCTAAATTTGGTTGATCAATTGGATCAATTTGTGTAGAATTGGTTTTTGCGATTGATCTTGATGATGTACTGTGCATCGGAGGAAATTTGATTTGCAAGGAGGCTTATTGTCGAATCAAACAGTTTTTAGGATCCAACCAGGGCAGCAACAATGCTAATAGCTGGCTCTGTTTAGAAGGTTCTTCAATCAGAAGCTGCCGGATTGACTTCTCGAGATCTCTGAGTGTGTCTGCCATGCATTTTTTTTTTTCTTCTTCTCATTCAGCAAAGACTTCAAATTAGGAATTTTTAATTTTAATATTATGTATAAACTTTTAACTTGTATAGAGAAATAGTTTGTGGGTTTGTAGTGGCGTGGATGTGGGTTTGGATTGGTGGTGGTGGTTGATATGGCAGTTGTGTGTGTGGCAGAACGGGTTTTGATGGTGGTCGCTGGAGTCAGCTTTAGTGGTAGAAGGGGGTAGAAGGGGTTAGTGATGTGGGTGGCAAAGGATTTGTGTTAGTGGTTCACTGGTGACGAATGGTGATGGGGTGTGTGGTGGAAGGTGGTGGTTGGTTAGTGGGGTGGCAGTGTGGTCTGGGGAAAGGGGGAAAGAAGTGGTGGTGGTGGTGGAGTGAAGGGGGAGGGACGAATGAGGTAGTGGTGATTGAAGGGTTTCGGTGGAAGCGGTAGAGTGATGGTGGCTGCCGGAGAAGAAAGAGATGGGAGATTGTAGTGGATTTACTATTCTTCCCTCAAAACTAGGTCACCTGAGGTGTACTTGTCATTTTTCATAAAAAGGCCAAACATCCGTCATTGATTGGATTCAATTGAGATGAGATTAAAAATTTAGGGGCAAAAACGAGTCAATTGCAGAGGGACCAAATTGACACAAAGGACAAAATAGGGACTACCAGTGTAGTTTGCTCATTTTTTTAATTTAATTGAACATATAGCCAATAGAGTTTATTGGCAAGAAAGGATTCATAAAAAATCAGTACAGACATAGAGCTGTGACACGACACGGATACGTCAACACAAAAATTTTCAAAAACAATAGGACACAACATGTGGGGACACATGCAAAATATATAAATATTTAAGTCAAAGAAATAGTTTTTAAAGTCTTAAGGAAGAGAATATGTATAAATATAAATTTACATTGTTTTTGCTTTATTGTTGGATTCCAAATTATTTATTCAAACTTGTAATTTGTTTCATGTGAGTGTTGGGAAGTATCTGACGAGTGTCGTGTCGGATACAACACGTTACCTTCTTAGAAGTGTCCTTGCTTCTTAGGATTCAGACCTCTGCGACTATGTCTTTGGAGTCTTTTAATATTTGTTTCTTTCTTTAAGTAAAAAATAAAATAAAAAAGTAAGTATATTTATACACACAATGTAGACATGTATGCATAGAAATTAGAATTATCGGGATGGACCAGGCTGCTTTGTGTCTGGCCTTAATGATTCCCATGTCTGGCCCTCTATTCTAACGGGCCTTAAAATCTTGTCCATCCTGGACCTACCGGCCTATAAGCCGTTCCAGGCCCTAAAATATTTAGGGCTGGGCTGTGTGGGCCTGGCAGGCCATGAGCCGATGGCCACCCTAGCTTAGCTTGCATAAATTACATAGTTGAGTTGACAGGAAGTCAATTTAATTAAGAACTACTTTGAGTCCTCTACAAGTGCGATCAAAATGGATGATATTAAACTGATTTCATGTTTAAAACTTAATGATGACATGCGGTTATAGAATTATTTGAACTTTGACCTTGTCACTTAAGGAGAGTTGCCTAATGGAGAATTATAGGAACCCCAGGGATTATATTTCCCAGGATGTGAATGATTATGTTGTGTGTGTGTGTTTTAGTTTCTATTTTACTCGTGCTTTTGGGGTTGGGATACACATACAAGATACAAGTACTACCTCTAGTTTGGTTTGACATTATTCTTTGATGAATGAGACAGTAAAGTACATGTGATAGTCAACTCTTGAATCCTGATGGGGATCTAAGCAACAAATCTGATTCCTAAAAATTGTTCTCCTTGAATATTTTAAGGTTTACGTAGTGGGTATTCTCCATTTTGTAAGCTATCTTGCAGTGAAACTGATTTATTCAATGCAACTAGCTGGTGTTTTGGTTAAGTAGTAACCAATGCATTTCTGCTTCTGTTCTTGACCTTATTAGAAATAAGTGTTTTTACACTGTTGGCTGATACATGCATAAAGCTCACGTAGGTCTCTTTCAGGCTTTAGCTACTCATAATTCAACCTTACTATTCTGTAGTTAAGTTTTTATTTTATTTTTTTGGGTGTAGTTTTGGCTTTGCTGTTCTGACATTTGATATACTCTGCCTGGTTTTTCTGTAATTTATGCTTGTTAACTGACCACCTCTGATTTTAGCCTGCTTGTTGCCATACCACCTCACTCTTTCAGATGCATTTGTGCGTGCGCACACACACACACACGCAGGGAGAGAGGTTCTGGTCTCTTTCCTTTGGTCACAAGTTATTAGGGTTTCGATTGTCATGAGAATAATAATGATAAAAGAACAATATGTTCTTATGGGAATAATAAGAAAACAATTGCGGAAGAAAAAAGGAATAAATCTTCTAAGTGTGTTTACTGATGGGCAAAATATGTGTCTCAAGAAAGAGGATAGAAGTTATATACAAAATTTGTAAGTGTGTCAAGGAAGAAAATAGTTTAATATACTTCTTCACATCTATGTATTTTATGTGTCTGAGAAGAATCAGTTGGTTTTTTACTCTCCTTTTAATCAGTTGGTTTTCCTCTCCTTTCAAAAAGTTACTTTGGGGTTTTGATTTTCAAACACTTGATGATGGTTAGAATCTTATAGCCGTGGTTCTTCATCAGGGTCATGAAACTTCCAATGATCTGTGGAAGCTTTCTGATGCTTGGGAGTTCCAAGAAAATGAGATCATGAGTGCCCAGGACAGATTGCGGTCAATACGTGCAAAGTTGGCTGTATTAGAAGGGAAGATGGCACTTGCAATTATGTAAGCCTAATTGTGTTCATATAATGACATGTGCCTTTGATATTGCTTTTCCCCGTTGGAATGTGCCTCAATCCTACAGTGCATTTGCAGTGATGCACAAAAGACGGTAGAAGAGAAGCAGAAGAGGATTCATGGCGCTCGTAGTGCTTTACAACTTCTTCATACTACCTGCATAGTTTGGCCTAATGCTGCCTCTGAGGTTCTGTTATCAGGATCTTTTGATGGTTGGACTACTCAGGTTTAATCTCATCTTTAAATAATTAAGTAATTGGCATTCTCCTTTTAAATCAACTATGAACCTATCTATGATGTAGTTATGGTGGATTTTACTTCTCAATCATAAAAAGTTATTGGGTAAATTACCCTGACCTCCCTTGAGATTTGGAAAAATTACAATAAGCCTCATAAATTTGACATAATTGCATTGGATTTCTTAAGATTTTAAATTTACACGACACTGAGATCCCTTTTCATTAGTAATTCATTAGTTATATGGATGAAGAAAAAAAAAAAGCATAATTTCTTTTATACTAAAATATATGTTTTATCTTGTTTATTTTTTTGTCTTCATATCATCTACATTAGTTCTAGTCTATTTAACTTTACTAAAAGGAAAGGCGGGGTAATTATGTCAAAACTGTGAGACTTATTGTATTTTCTTGAAGCTTCGGGTAGGTTAGTGTAATTTACCCAAAATTAATTATCCTCCTCCCACCAGATCCACAAGGAGAGGTTTTATTAAACCTAGTTTATTTACTGAGGTGTAATTTCTCTTTAGCATAGCCATTCTTACCATTGGAGACTAGTCAAAGAGACCATGTGCATTATTGAACAATGACCTGCACCAGTAAGTAAAATTGAAGGCACTGAAAGGACAAGAAGAAACACTAAAAGAGCATTGATATTTTGTTTTAAAGATTTTATAATTTTGATTTGATTAAAAATATAGCCCAATAGATATCCTAATTTCACGAGGAAAGATATATATTTTTTTGTGCAATGCTTTTGGGGTTGCTTATATTTTATGTGAATTATGATTTACAGTGCTGTCTTGCAGAGGAAGATGGAGAAATCAAAGATGGGTATTTTTTCTGCGTGCCTGAAGTTGTATCCGGGTAGATATGAGGCAAGTCTTTTTCATCAACTTGATTACGACTCCAAAAAAAAGTTATCTTTTGGATTGTACAGATTTCAAAAAAATTCTCTACAATTTCTGCAGATCAAGTTTATAGTCGATGGCATATGGAGGACTGATCCACTGCGCCCCACAGTTTGCAACAATGGACATGAGAATAATCTTCTTATTATAGCATAAAGGCTGCCAACAATATAATTCAATGATAGAGGCAGCACAGAAAGTGTACATGCTGCAGCCTTTTTCCTTTTTCAATCATCAAAGGGTTATTTTGAAAAGATGATTATAATCAGCTTTTTGGTAAAAAGCTACTTATAAGCAGCTTATAAGCAGTTTTTTTGTGAGAGAGGAAGTGAGTTATAATCTGAGAAGTGGATTATAGCCCACTTTCCATAAGAGCCCAAAATGGGTCAGGTGGTGAATTTATTTTTTGTCAGTGGTATGAATAGTTCAGATTATTTTGGAAATTGTGGGGGTTGTGTTTTGTAGGGGTCTCTATTATTACTGTTTTTAAAGTATCTTTTGCCATAGGAAATTGGTATCTATACCGCCTTAATCTTACAAGTTTGTATCATCTAATTGTTTTCCTTTAGATTTTCTTTTTCACTTTTATTTATTTATTTATTTCATGTGTACATCTGACTACGTGAAGATAATCTAATCCAATCAAATTGAAAATTCTTTTACTGCTATGCAATCTGCCCAATATTTTATTGAAGGATCAATGATTATGTTTGTTTTTACAAGACCATATATATACATTTGGATTGAAGTCGTCAAAATTGTGAAGAGCTCAGGGAAATGAAATTAGTGCAAAGTATTGGCTGAAAAGGGAATGAAAATATGAGACATGCATGTGTTGCTTAGAAGCAGGAAAAGTACATGCATCAGATATGAGATTGTACACAAGATATGATACAAATACAACATTGGCGTGGACAAGAACTTTCTTAGAAGTGTACGCGCTTAAATACATAGACATGCATATGTATGCACTAGGGGGGTGGCACTGCATCATCATATCATGAAATCCAGCCCGTGCAGGAAAAGGTGAGATGGTATAAAATATTGAGATTGTTTGGTACACTTTATATGAACTGTTTATATATATATACATATTCGAGTGTCAGATTGTTTAGTCTGACTTTTACTAATAACTTATTAAATAAAAATATCTTTAACAAGTAAATTATCTAGAAGCTGGAAGAGTGATGCTTTTGATCGTTATCAGCTTTCTACTTACACAAAAGAAGACCATTCAACAAGAGGAGTGAAGATTCGAGACTAAGGAGCATTGTCAAAGTGGGATGAGCCTTGACATTGATAAGTTCAACAAACAATTTAAGATGCACAATATATCCCGTAAGACTATGGGTTACAATTAGTCAATACATGTCGACTAAAAAAACCACATTTTTTGTTTTTTCGTAACACCATCAGTCAAAATAAGAGGATAGGGAGGGATTCAATCACTTGGCCTCAACAATCAAGGTCCCAGTGTCACCTTCCAAATGCCACTGAATTACATGGGTCATAGCTTAACCCTGCAACAGACTAGTTGTGCAGAAAATGCACCAGCTCCAGCTGTGGCACCACGAACATTGAATTAACACTGCCTTTAAATTGCATCACATTGCCATCGTCTCATATTTTTTATTGGACAGACCAAAGGCCCATCACATTAAGATTGACAATCCAAGTACACAAATCATGTCTGAGAAGGAAGACGGACTGTCCTTGCAGCAAATGTGAACCCGCTTCCACAATAAACTTTAGTTCTGCTGTTTATGTATGGAAGTTTGTCACCGAGTTTGACAACATGAGGAATAGTTTGATCATCTGTACTCCCCAAGCCAAGCTGACCATGTTCGCCCCAACCCCATGTCATTACTAATCCATTTTCTACACAATTGCAACGATCAATGAAGGAAAATCAGTCAGCTTATCTCGGAAAATAGAACGAGATAATACAGGACAAAATCTTACCTGTTACTAGAGCCGAGTGCTCGGCTCCTGCTGCAATCTGCGTAACTTTTATCCCATTAAGATTGGGAATTTTACCCACAACAGTTTCCTTTGAATCATCTGCAGTATTAATTCCATAGATTTTACATTAAGACTAGTTTGCACTCACAAAAGCAATCACTCAATCAAAGAAAATTATCGTCTGTTTTTCTAAAAAGTTCACATAATTACTGCACATAGAGTTGTGCATTCTTTTAAGGGAAAATTACAAATCAGTGTAGAAGAATAATTACAAAAACAAAGGGGGTGCAAACTTTTTCTGTGCAAAGAAATCACAGCAAAAGTTGCACCCCCAGTTTTTGGTAAATATTTTTTCAATCTTCCTACTATCTTGTAATTTCCCCTTGTTTAATCCTTTCAAAGATTGATCGGCTGGCTAAAATAATCTGATTAAATAAAATTCCCAAGATAATATATGTGTACACCTTCTCAAATGGTCCAGAGATGAAATATTAATCACCCACTCCCCTTTTTCTGTCAATAAGGGAAGTAAATGGGATAAATGCAAAGGAAAAATGCGTCATGACATTGTTTATACAGTCCAAGCTATTGAAATGCATTACCAGACAAATGCTTAACCAGATTCATTTTCTGAGATTCGCCGAGCACACCATGGTGCTTGCCTCCAAGCATACAAACTTCCCCCTCACCTAGTTGAGGCCAAGACTACAAATTAATAATTCATAATCCTCCCTTTAGGGGAAAAAAAAATTGGAGTAGAATGGTGAAGTATTATGTACCCGTTAAGAGCAAAGCATGATTCCATCCAAGAGCCGCCTGGATGAATGATAAAGATGAACTTAAACACTGGGGAGTGTACGCATCTGAACTACCATTGAATCCTCTTCCCCAGGTGTACAGATGCCCATCAGCTTATGGAATAGCCAGATCAATAGCATCAAATTAATAAAATAAAATAAAATAAGCTAGGGTAAATTACACTTTTCATTCCTCTAATTTGATCCAAATTCACTTTGGTCCCTCTTATTTCAATTTGAACAATATTAACTTTAGACATCTTGTTTTAATTTGGTCCGTCCTCTCAAATTGGACGTTAAAATTCAAGATTATTTAACATGTGTCAGTAACCAAAGGAGTACAGAGAAGAAGGAAAAAAAAAAAAAACTGACAGTAATTTGGATGAAAGGACCAAACTGAAAGTGACTGAAAGTCTAGGGTAAACATTGTTCAAATTGAAACAATAGACACCAAAGCGAATTTGGGTCAAAATTATAGGGGTCGAAAGTGTAATTTACAAAAAAACTAATTTAAAGAAAGCATATAATAGCCTGGAAATAATGCTACTCTTCAGAGCAATACAATCCTATAACTATAGAAAACTCCACTTATCCTTATTAGAGGGACTCACCAGATAATGCTGCACTATGGTCTCCATTCGCGAGAATACCAACGATCTTGATATCTTCCAATCCAAAGGTAGTTTGAGGAAGAGATGTTGATCCAGTTTTATCCTTGGAAATGCCCAGTTGACCACGCTTACCAGACCCAAATCCATATACTCGGTCTCCAAAATGACCTGCATAAGATTGCCCTTAGATTTTAGTATTGCCTTCTTGGGCTGGTCAACTTCAAAATTGAGTCAAGAAGTTTTCCACTTAAAAACAGGGTTCTTCTCTGTCAGACAGGAATCTTCCAATGTAGGGAGATGGGCTGTTTGGGAATGTGGTGAGGCAAAGTGAGACATCACAAATATGTGAAAACTCCTTATTGTTACATAGTATGTGTTTTGACAACTGCACAGCAAGTATATTAATATGACAGTTAACAAATTGATTCAATTTTAATTTATCCATTCACTTGTTGAGCTTAACGTAATCCCAAAGAAAGAGATGAGAAGTTTTGATGGAGTGTAGCAGATTGTAGACATCAACGTGTTATTGTGTGAACAGAGTGAAACAATTAAACTCCACCCAAGTAATGTTATTCAATATTTGCTCGCCAAGCATACAAATTAACAATGTGTGAGATTGATCAGGTTTTTTTAACCTTTCGCAATATACAAAAATAATAATTTGCACAAGAACAGAATTGGTTACAATTGTTGGGTGTGCATATCTGTCTATGTGTTTAAGTGTCATATTCATTATGTCCAAAGACTCCAAGTCACAACTATAGTTTGTATTTTTTAAATACTTTATTTTTTACGGGTAAAATGGAGTTTATAAACTGACATAGATCATTTTACACATAAAATGAGACTTACACGTAGTTGTATAACTATTTAGGCATACTAAATTGGTGCATGTCCAACTACACATGCCCAAAGTTTTAATAGGCTTTACTGATGCTTGCCTTGAGGCGAGGCCAAGGTAAAACACATCAAGGCTTTGATTTTTAGGCTATACTCTCCAAAGGCTTGCTCATCACAGCCTGAGGAATGCGCCTTGTATGCCTTTTGCATAAGCATAAGCATACGAGGAGTAAGCACATGAAGAGGTTGTTGTAGGCCCTTGTTAAACTCAACTAATAAAAAAGTAAAAAATAAAAAAAGAACTCCCTTTGCAACCATATTCTACAAGAAAAATTAAGTAAATGACTAATCAAGAAAAAACAAAAAGTATTATGCTCAAGTTATAAGCTCAATCGCTAAAGCTATGAATGTCAATTTTACTTTTAATGAAAGCAAGCTTCCTTCTTTGCAATGAAATGCTTGATGCCTTGAGAAGAAAAATATTTACACCTTTATATTTAATTTTTATTTATTTATTTTACTATTTTAAAATATTTAATTTATTTACTAAATATAAAAATTCAAAATGCTTACGTCTCAACACCTTAAGACATGCCTCGCATCATGAGGGGTAAAACACCAAGTGTTACACATTCGTCTTTACAAACTTTGGACGTGCCGATTGTCAAGTGTTGCTGGTACTTCCGATAAGTCCATGTATACGTCCAAAAAAGCAATCATCATTGATGACACCGGAAGAAACTATTTTTGACACCAGAAGAAGTCATTTAAGTGCAGTTCTTCCTCCACCTGACCTATCTTTATTCCTTCATTTCTAGGGTTATTGATTCTACAATGTTAATCAACTCTATGTAATATGTATGACCAATTAAAATATTTTCTTGAATATAATTTCTAGAAAAATGTTAGATTCTGTAAATGTTTAGTTTCAGAAACGAATAATATCCTCCGCCAACTACACATTACCTCTCAGTTCGAGGTATACATCATAGTCATAAGTTTGTGGACTACATTTCACCAAGATGAAACAAGTGACAAAAATAAATGAATAAATAAATAAAAATAAAAAAGAACAAGAAAAAATAGGTAGAGGAAATTCGTCCTTAGGAATGCGTTATTCAGATCTCTAAAGTCAAATCAAACAACTTTATGTTGACACCCCCTTTACCAATGCTTTAGACATATAACAAGCACATATACATCCTACGCAATAACATATTACCATCAAGAGTAATCCAGCTGACTGTAATATTACAATATCATCACATCTTTTACCTTTCAACAAGACCAATGAATGGCGCATACCACATGCTATCTGCTCAACATGCTTCGAAGTGAAGTATGAAAGCATTACAGGAGAGCTATGCGAATTGTAATCACCATGCCCGAGTTGACCAAATGAGCCATCTCCGCAAGTAAAAAGGCATCCAGTATCTGAAAGTAGATAGAAAGTGGGGATGAAGAGCAAGTAAGAAAGGTAAAAAAGTGATGCCCCAGGAATAACACATCATAACCGACATTGCAATAAGGCAAAAACTAAATAGCAGACATTCAGTCTAGAAATTTACAACAGCACAAGCTAGAAAACAAGAACAGAGAACAATTTTGCCATGCAACACCGGATTCCCTAATAACAATTTCTCAGAGATAGGCACACTGAGAGGAAAATTACATTCAAAAAATAAAACTGGTTGTTTTGTATCTGTGCCCTGACCTTGAACATACCAAACAACTCCTGAGAATTACAAAATGGAAATTACCAAATAATTCATTTAGTAATTAATATCTTACAATTAGAAAAGAAAACAGGTTCAAGCACTCAACTTTCAAGTCATTGAAAAGATAGAAGGTAAAGAAACCAGCGACTGGATAAGGGATAAGAGGGGCCATTACACGGATCCAATAGAAAATTATGAGGAATAACATTAGGCTTTGTCACTATATACAATTATGATCATGGGCATGGACTTTTCCCAATCAACAAAAGGTTTTTTTGACCTTAGACTTGTCGACGGAAATGAAAAGGTAAAAGAAATCAAATTAGTTAGAACTACTTATTTTTATAGGTAACAGCACGAGGTTTTTTATTTTTTATTTTATTTTTATAGGTTCTTATTTCTCGAACCCAAAAAAAAAAAAAATAAGTGTAATGAATTTAGTTTCTCTACTTTCTTTTAACAAATTCAAGAACAAGAACAGAGATGACTGATGATAAAAGTAACAATGTTATTATTTAAGAATAGACCTGTAACAAAGCCAGAGTGGTTCCATCCAGCAGAAACATGAGTCACAATGAGGGTCTCTAATAACTGGACAGGCTTAGGATGTAAACAATTGACCATCTCCCCATGACCCAGCTGGCCAGAAGTTCCTCTTCCCCATGTCAGTACCCTTCCACCTGCGCAAGCAATCGAATTGAGTGTTACCACACATGTCCATTGCTCATCCCACCAAAGCCTATTTTTAATTTAACCCATGATTCATTCATTCATTCTAACCCCCAATAATTTTGATAAAACAAATTACGCTCTAATTTGTACTCTCTAAGACTGAAAGGCAACTAGAGCTACAATCGCAGCAAAAATTACAAATCAGCATTGTGCTGGGTGTATGTCTTCTATTATGTGGGCCCATGCAGTTACTAGTTTTCACATATATTTAAATTAGGTTGTGGAGACCAGAATTCACAATGAGTCCATTACATGTGTGGTTTTATTAATTGTGTCGGACTAGGGTTTCTAAAGTTTACCTATAAATAGGGAACTAAAAATTGAGAGGGTTTGTAGAGATTTCGTGGAGACTGAAAAATACCAAGAACACTGGCTGAGCGGGGAAGTGGGTTTGCTTTACCCTTGAGTAGGGAAACATATATTGTTTCAGGGCTCGGGTATTGGTTTTGGGTTTTGGATGTTTTTAGTCTCATGTTTGTATTCTATATTAAAATGGATTTCTCTTTCTGTCTCACCTGTTGACTGTTGATGTAGGCAAATTTGTGTTGAACCACATAAATCTCTATGTATTTTTCTCTTTGGTGTGTGCATGAGTGTACTTCGCATTCATGTGATTTGCAATAATCCCAACAAGTGATATCAAAGCCATAGTAGTCGATTTGAAGTCAAGGGAAAGATTAAGAGCACAATATATATATATATATATATATTTTTAATCTCATTCGACTAGATCAAAATTTTTGATTTACATAGGAAAAAGGATTATTGCGGTGGTTGATTACAGAGGACAAAAAAGGAGAAGTGTAGCATGGTCGGTTGAAAATTGTGCAAATTTTTGCAGCAGTGGGGGCATTGCTCAGGAGCAAACCAATCTATTTCCTTTGGTGACGCACAAATTCTAGTGAAAAGGAAAGAAAGTTTTGTTACACAATTTTTCTCTATTGACATAAAAAGAAAGATTGGCTTGGGTAACAATATAGTGTGATGGCTACGCTAATTTCGATGGTCTAAAATTTCTTTAGTTAGCAGAAAAATTCAAGGCAAAGGCATTCTCATGATTTTTAGGTGTTGCAAATTCATCAGTGAGTTTAGGATTTTCAGATTTTGAATGATTTGATGAAATTGGATAGATTCAAAGGAGATTACAATTGATCAATGGCAATCAGGTTTCACCACTAGTGATCCAAATTAATCTGATTCAATCAAAGATGAAAGACCAATCATCGACGGATGCAACTTGGGTTTTAATTGCAGGTGGAGTAAATTAGATGACATTTTCTTGATTGGACAAATGATTGGCAAGTGATACAAGCTTGTGGAGAGTTTTATCATAGGTGGGGCTGCTGTCAAATACTAGGCAGGGAGTATTGGTAGGCGACGTAAGCAAATGATGCGTACAGGTAAATAGGGTTTGCTACAGTTGCAGATGCACACATAGGTGCATAGATTCGTGCACACGTGGTGGGCATACAAGTACGTGGATAACTAGTGTGTAGGATTCTAGCCAGATGTAACAGCAACAATTGTTGGATGTTCATAAATGAAGCTCTGAATAGAGAGATTGAGACGGTTGACGAAACAAGACGATGCGCATCCCGAACGAAACGGATCTCTTCTATTTTGGGTTTGGTTAGTGGCGGTGATCTCTTTGGTTGTGTCTATGAAGCATAGACACATTTTCGGAGGTCACGTATAGTGTCCAACACGTGTCAGACACACTGGAAAGAGTCGGATACACTGGGACACTTAGGACCCGCTGCGGACACGTTATGGACATGTTGGGACACGCTGAGGACACATTTGGGACATACTGAAGACACGTTAAGGACACATTAAGGACTATTTTTTTGAAAAAAAAAAATTTAATTTTTAAATTTTTTTACTAAAATAGCATACCTAAAGTTGATAAATTTGATAAAATTAAATATTTAACATAAAATATATATTAAATATTAAAAAATATGATATATAATGAATATATAAAATTATATGTTTTGCATGTATCGCCAACGTTGTTGTGTGCTGCATTTTTTAATAATTTGCATGTCAGCTTGTTCGTGTTATATCCGTGTCATGTCACCCATCTGTGTCCTTACTTCTTAGGGTTATGTGTACAAAGGAGCAAAGGTAGAGCCACAACAGTCGGCAAAGTAATGAACTTTGCGGGGCATCTTGGTGTGGAGATGCAGGCCATGTTGGTTCGAGTGTGCCAGATTGCGATGAGGGGCAGAATCGACTCTTCAAGCTGATTTGCAGAATTCAAGTTAAGGTAGAGATTGTTGGGGGTATGTCTTGTATGATGTGGGATCCATACCTTTATTAGTTTTTACATATATTTGAATTAGGTTATCGAGTCCAAAATTCACGATGACTCCATTACATATTATGTGTATAGTTTTATGAATTTAACGAGACTATTCTAACAACTTACTAATTTTTACGAAAAGATGTACAAATAGATATCACAATGAATAGTGACGTTTTGGCTAAAATGTTTAGGGTGCAATAACCCCAACCCCAACACAATTGATCAGGTGCAATCAGCACATACAAATATATACATATAGAGAAGGGGTAGGGTACCGGTGGTGAGAGCAATGACATGGGCGCCGCCGCAGGATAGGACGGAGATGGGAGCAGCGCCAGCAGCACCGGCGGAGGAGAGAGGAAGTCAAGTTTAAAATAATTAGTCCGTACTTCAATTGTTTAACCAAACGTCGGATTAATAATTTTATTAGACTATTAGTCCAATCCCAAGCTCATGTCCACCCAAACAAGCACCCAAACAAGCATGGCCATTACGTGTATAGTTTTATGAATTTAACGAGACTATTCTAACAACTTATTAATTTTTAGGAAAAGAAGTACAAATAGATATCACAATGAATAGTGACGTTTTGGCTAAAATGTTTAGGGTGCAATAACCCCAACCCCAACACAATTGATCAGATGCAATCAGCACATACAAATATATACATATAGAGAAGGGGTAGGGTACCGGTGGTGAGAGCAATGACATGGGCGCCGCCGCAGGATAGGACGGAGATGGGAGCAGCGCCAGCAGCACCGGCGGAGGAGAGAGGAAGTTGGAGTAGAAGCAGAAGAGGGAGGTGCTCGTCTTGAAGCTTCCCTGTCCCTAGCTGTCCTTCCGTTCCTGCTCCCCAGCTCCATAGTTGTTGTTGTTGTTGTTGTTCTTCTTCTTCTTCTTCTTCTTCTTCTTCATTTAATAGTCTTTCGTTTTCTTCCATCTTTATTGTTTTGGGGGGGTTTCGTTTTCTTTCGTTTATGCCATGGGTTGGGAGATCTAACTATTCACCTCCTGCTGCTTCTGCAAAAGCCCATTTTGACCCAACTTCTGGGCAATCACTCTTCCTATTTTCACATTCAATTTTATCTCATTACTAAAACTTATAACATGTGTTTTGGAATTGATTTTTTTAATACATTTTTAATTTTTTACTAAAAACATGTAAACAAAAATAAAGAGAATGGAGTTAATTTTTTAGTTTTTTTTTTTTGGGAAAGTTTCCCAATCACCCTAGTGATCATTTGGGGTTAGATGGTTTTGTAGTTTTTCCAGATTTATTTATTTATTTTTTTTTTATTTTTTAACTCTCACATAAGCTCAAAAAGCTAATCAGTTTAAAAAGTCATTAAAAAAATTATTTTTTTAATAAAAAATTGATGTGATATTTAATTTTTTTAGTTGATAGCAAAAGCTTAGGCTTGTTTGATTTAATTTTGAGAAATAAATGTTGGACAAACTTTTTTAAAATTTTGTTTGGTTCAGTGTTTTTGAAATTTTTTTTTTCAAAATCACCTTATATCTCATACACATTAATCAATTATTTTTTTTCTCTCCTCTCTCCTCTTTCCTCTTTCTTTCTCAATTACTTTTTCTCCCACATGTATCTACTCAATTACAACAAAATATCAAATTATCTCAAACACCCATACTCCAAAACTATTTTCAAAATATACAATCAAACAAATCAAAAAAAATTAAAAATTCTAAATTCTTTTCACAAATTTTTTTTTGAAAATTTATCTCCTAAAACTAAACAAAACACACCTTTAATTTTTTTAAATTTTTTTTTCTTTTTTTTACCTTCCCCTTTTTTAGTTAAAAATTGACTTTTTTATAAGTTTCCAAAAAATCCCTTAGTTCTTTTATCTATTAATATTTTTTAATGTATATCTTACTTACACTTCATCTTTTAATACTCAATATCACTTTATTCTCCTTAGCTAAAAAAAAGTTAAAAGGTCCACTACATAAATTAAAAAAATTCATTGACCTCTACAAATTTGTCATAATTATATTGTAATTCTTTAAATTTTGGATTCAAATAATAATTTATCAATTTTCAAAACTCATTTGTTTGTCATGTTGATTAAAAAAAAAAAAAAATAAAAAAAAAAAGAGAAATGCATAATGTGGATTGTAGACTCATATTTTTATGATTTTGTTTTTTATTTTTTCCACCATATAAAAGTCCAATCTAATTGCAAATAAAACAACAGAAAGTGTATACATTATGGTGAGGATTTTATGCTCATATTTTTATGATTTTTTATTTTTATTTTTTCAACCATCTAAAAGTTCAATCTAAATTATAAAAAAAAAAAAAAACATATATACATTATGATATGGATTTTAGACTCATATTTTTATGAATTTTTTAAAAAAATTTTCCCACCATATAAAAGTTCAATCTAAGTTATAAATAATAATTAAAAAAATGTATACATTATGATGTGGATTTTATGCTCGTATTTTTATGATTTTTATTTTTATTTTTTTTCAACCATATAAAAGTTCAATCTAAATTA